TTTGCGCTTTTTCGAGTCATCATCAGTCTCTCCAATCGCTTCCAGTTCGTTTAGTCCACTTTTTGATGGCAACACTTCCTCAATATCCGAGTCCGACGATGATTCATCCATACCAATAGATGCCAATAATTCAGATCTTTTTTCAGCGGCCATTGCAACAAAATTTTATTTTAAAAGTAATAAAACTGTTATAACTTTTACTATAATTTTAGCTTTAAAAACTGAATGATTATTGAATGTAAAATATATCTCTTTATATACTCAACTTTAATTAAAATTTGTTTTATTAATAACGTTATTAATATACATATATAATAACAACACCCATAAATTTAAATTTATTTTTATTTATAAACTTGAAATATAGTTACAATTATAATAAACTGTAGTACGCCTAAACATTTAAATTTATTTTTATTTATATACTTTAAATATTATTACTATTATAATAAAATGTAAAAACGCCTAAACATTTAAATTTATTTTTATTTATATACTTGAAGTATAGTTACTATTATAATAAATTGTAGAAACGCCTAAACATTTAAATTTATTTTTATTTATATACTTGAAGTATAGTTACTATTATAATAAATTGTAGAAACGCCTAAACATTTAAATTTATTTGTTTTTATATACTTGAAGTATAATTACTATTATAATAAATTGTAGAAACGCCTAAACATTTAAATTTATTTTTATTTGTATTCTTGAAGTATAGTTACTATTATAATAAATTGTAGAAACGCCTAAACATTTAATTTTTTTTATTTATAAGTATTATTAAAACAAAAAATAAACTACGCCTAAAAATTACTTAAATTTATTTTTGTTTACAAACTTGAATTATATGTACTATTAACGCAAATATTAAACTACGCCTAAGAAATACTTAAATTTATTTTATTTATAAACTTGAAAATATATGTATTATTTAAACAAATAATAAACTACATCAAAGTATTATTTAAATTTATTTTTGTTTATAAACTACGCCTAAGAATGACTTAATTTTTAATAATTTAATAAAAAAATATTCTTATTTTATTTTTAAGTTTAAAAAAATGAAAAATCATTAAATTTTAAAAATATTTTATTTTTTAAAAAATATATAAAATAATATACATATTATATAAAAAAAACTATATATAATAATATATAGAAAAAAAATATTTAAAAATGCTGGCCATTACAAAATAGAATGATGGTATCCGCAATCGCAGTTTATCCATAGATTGCCCATTAACATATCCAATTGAAGTAATGGGTCGGCGCAAGGAATAAAGGCGTGGTAGTCCATTAAAACGCATATTTTATGGACTATTTGATGAATAGTTAGGGGTGTTTGGAAACGAACCCCACAATTACATACAATAAAACCACCATCAATTGCCTTTAGATGGTCCATCCTACAGTTTGGACACAGAAGAAGCTGATGGCTGAGGGCGTGTTTGAACGCAGCGCTTTTTGTATACTCTGATTGAGTACGTAGGCCATCCCATCCGAGTTGCTCTTCATAAGCCTTTTCACGTGCCAATGCTTCTTCTCGTAAACGAAGCTGTTCATCGACGTTATTTGTGGATTTGTTGTTGTTATTGATACGAAGGTAAGCAACAATGTTAGCCAATGCGTCAGCTTCCATTTTGTCCGATAGGTGTCGCTTTTGTAATACAAACTTTTAATTATTACTATTAAAGTGTTTAAACTTGTGTGAATGATATTCTTAAATTTAATTCAATATATATATACTCTGAAGTATTTTTATGACCTTAATTTAAACAACTAATATTGGTTGCAATTTATATATGTATAACGCCTTATGTATTATTAATTACTTACTTTATATTTTATTACACTTTTAACTTTGAAATTTTGTTACACCCAAGTTTTAATGTTATTTAAATTAATAATCATTTTTATTATTATATACATATTATGGTTATTAATTAATAATTATACATTACTTAAAGTTACACCCAAGTTTTATTATTAGTATTGGTTACAATATATATATGTATAACGCCTAATGAAATATTGAATATTTATTATATTTTATATTATACTTTTAACTTTGAAATTTTGTTACACCCAAGTTTTAATATACTAATGTTGGTTTCAATATATATATGTATAACGCCTAATGTATTATTGTATACTTACCATATTTTCTATTACATTTTTAACTTTGAAATTTGTTACACCCAAGTTTTAATATAATTGCTAACATATTATGTTTTATCTATAATTAATTTTACTTAAAATATAATTACAGCCAAATTTTAATAAGTTTAATAGTAAAGTAATAACTATTTAATCAAACAATATTTAAATTAAATGAATTTTAATTATATTTATTATGAAAATACATGTAAATTTTATAGTGTTTTTTATTATTTCATATATAACCTAAATTACATTAATATTTTATATATATTATTGTTTACTTTATATTAAGTGTTTTATTTAAATTAGTATATTATATGTTTAATATACTAATTAAAGTGTTAGTCTAACAGTTAGTTTACATAATTTTAATTTAATAATGTTTGTATTTTAATTAGATCAAATTAAACAAATAATTTTAAACTAAATTTAAGCTTTAATTTAAACTAAAAACATTTGCACTTAATTGCTATTTAAATATAAATTAATTTAGATTAAAATCATACTAAAATAGTGCAAAAGCTTTAGCTTAGCTAATGCTTTTGCCACTTCAATCAATGTTAATTTACTCATACTATTAAACTTATGTTTAACTAAATGTATTGGGTGAGATATATTAAGAATTTTACTGTACTACCTTATAATACCCGCGTTCGACTAACAATGATTGATTCAACACTAAAGTGTCTCTAGGACGGAATCGATCTCCAGGCTTAAGGCCCGAAAACCCACACCTTAACAGTATACGTATAAAGTTAATACTAAAAGTATAGCTTAAATAAGTATTTAACATTAGTTTCAATGGCTAACTTTTTAACGGTTGACTTTTTTTAGGTTTTGATGACACTTTTAGACATTCAATATTTTTGATTTTTTTTTTTTTTTTTTTTTTTGAAAATTTTTTGAAAATTTTTTGACTAAAAATTTTGAATGTTTTGTATTTTTATACATTGTTATACATTGTATTACATTGTATTGTATACATAAGCATTGTTTGAAGGCTAACAACTTTTACTGTTATACATTATTATAATATAGTATAGTGTTTAATGCAATGTAATGTAATTATTATTAATATAATAATTGTATAAATTTTTCGTAGAGCTTATACCATTCAATTGTTTAATTTTTTCGTAGAGCTAAGTAGACATAAATGTCTATTTTCGTAGAGCTTGTAAAAGTATACAACAATAATCATTAGTAATATTCATTATTAATCACATTATGTCTAATCATATTATTATTATTATTTAAAAATAAAATATAAATTGAAATAAATCCTTCAAAAAAAAAACAATTATTACACTATAGTAGCAAATGTTTGCTAAGTACACACATATCCGTATATAACTAACAATAAAATAATAATAATAACCTAATTGTCAATCAATTGTTTTTTGTTACTCTACACTACACTAAAATTTACACTACTGTTCAATAATATTCATTGCAAAAAAATGGCATTAAAAATAGATATACTGTATATAATACTATGATATCTAAAAAACAATGCATAAAACAATAGGCGTGTAATAAATTTTACAACAATACCCGTATAATAATAATAATAATACTAGTATTTATATATCAATTATATGGGAGAAAATATATATATATACTGTATTAATGTGTGACTAATATTAGTGAGTAAATGATATCTCTCTTAACTAACTAACTATTTTCATAACTACTAAAAAATAATGAAATTATTATCATTTGTAATACAGTGTATATACCAGTACATTGTAATTGTAGTGAAACAAAAAAAATTTTTTTATAAGTTTTGTTTTTTAACAACTATTTACTACTACTGATAATAAATAAGTTGACTAAAAATAATAATAAAGTATTTTTTTCATTAACTATTAGATTATTTACTGAGTATTAACTTAATATTGATAGTATTACTATTTCAATTTTTATTAAAATGATAAATATAATAATAAATACCTTTATAAATAAGCTGTATAAATAAATCCTGGTATTAAATTCATATACAGTTAATATATCGTATGATTTTTTTGTTACTATTTTATTACTTTGATTATAATTTATTGTAATATTAATATTAACTTATAGTTCATAAACATTTGAAAGTTTTTTTTTAAAAAATAGTTAATACGGTATAATATTAATTATTTTTAAAAAAATAATAGTAATAATTATAAACTACTATTAATTGTTTGTAGAAAATAATAATAATAATTAATTTGTTTATTTCCAGGATATCAATTATAATTTTTTTTTTTAATCAATAACCAACAAATAAACAAAAAATAATGATAAATTTAACATTGAATTATTTCTAGCAATTGATTTTGGTTGTTTGCATATTTTTAAGGATAATAGGAAAATAAAATTGATAAATATAGTAAAGAATAATAATAATAACAATCAATTAATGTCAATAATTAAATACAGTAATACATATTTATTAAACAAATAAAACTAAAGAAAATTGTTTTCAAAAAAAAAATAAATAAAATTATTGTAAAACTAATATGATATTACAGTTATATGATAATAAGTTATTATAAAAAAATATATATAAATAAATACAATTAATTAATAATAATAAATACTAATACATAATAAATATAATTAATTACTAAATATAAGATATTTTTTTAGCAAACTAGTCGATTGACAATTTAAATTAATTTTGTCAATGTTTATTACACCCATACCTACTCAATACCTACTCATACCTACTCATACCTACCCATACCTACTCATACCTACCCATACCTACCCATACCTACCCATACCTACCCATACCTACTCATACCTACTCATACCTACCCATACCTACCCATACCTACCCTATCTCTAACCAGGAATACTCATGTCAGGTAACATTCCGTGAACAGTGGAACGACAATCGGCTACAGTTTGACGACATGCAGGGAAAGATCCAGTACCTGGTACTGACCGATCCGAACCGTATATGGAAACCCGACCTATTTTTTAGTAACGAAAAAAAGGGACACTTTCACGAAATAATTATGCCAAACGTATTGCTCCGTATCTATCCAAATGGAAACGTACTGTTTTCCATACGTATCTCATTGGGTAAGGGAGAGGGAAGGGGAGGGGATGGGGGGTTAGGGTGCAGCCGGGTGCTGGCTATCATATATATATATATAAATAATACAAACAATTATATTTATATATTAATATTAATATTTTTTATTGTTATCTAACCTAACCTAACCAGTACTTTCCTGTCCAATGGACCTGAAATACTATCCACTGGATAGGCAAACGTGTTCAATACAAATGGCCAGTTGTAAGTTTTTTTTAATATATTATATATATATATATATGTAAAATATTATCATCAATTTTTTTTGGTTATGCAGATGGCTATACCACCGATGATCTAGTATTTATGTGGAAAGAGGGTGATCCAGTACAGGTGACCAAGAGTCTTAATTTGCCACGTTTTACACTACAAAAATACTTGACCAACTACTGTACCAGTCGGACAAACACAGGTATTATAATAATAATAATAATAATAATAATACTATTAGACATGACATTCCTTTACCTATTAGTGTAAAGGGAAAGTCATACTGTATTTAATACAAACATACCTAACTTTATTTTGTTTGTTTGTTGAACCTAACTAATTAACCCAGGTGAATACAGTTGTCTGAAAGTGGATCTACTATTCAAGCGTGAGTTCAGCTACTATCTGATCCAGATATACATACCGTGTGCCATGCTCATATTTGTGTCATGGGTGTCCTTTTGGTTGGACCCGAACGCTACGGTAGCCCGGGTATCGCTGGGTGTTACCACACTGTTGTCTATGGCTACCCAAATATCGGGTATCAATGCCTCTCAGCCGCCCGTTTCCTATACAAAAGCCATCGATGTCTGGACAGGGGTGTGTCTGACATTTGTTTTCGGTGCACTGTTGGAGTTTGCACTGGTCAACTATGCCTCCCGGAGCGATGTACACCAGGCAGCAGCCAAACAGCAACAACAGGTTGCCCAGCGTCAGGCCAAATGGAATATCGAACATTCGACTATGGAAGCCGGCGGTAATGGAGATGAGACCACATATGGATTGGTAGGTTATTTGATAATAGATAGACAGATAGACAGATAGACAGATAGACAGATAGACAGATAGACAGATAGACAGATAGACAGATAGACAGATAGACAGATAGACAGATAGACAGATAGACAGATAGACAGATAGACAGATAGACAGATAGACAGATAGACAGATAGACAGATAGACAGATAGACAGATAGAGTTATACAGAATATTCTGTATATGTTTGGACTAATGTTTTTTTTATGTACTAATTTGCGTTTGTTTTTTATTTTTATTAAACCCATGGACACACACACACACAGAGAGGTGACGGCTACCGGAGCTGCGAAATACACGCCAAACCAAACAAACGCAAAAACTGGTGCAAACGATGGCTGTCCAAATTTCCTACCCGTTCCAAACGTATCGATGTTATATCTAGAATATTCTTTCCATTTATGTTTGCACTGTTCAATCTGGTCTACTGGACCACCTACCTGTTCCGCGATGATCTACATATGCCACTCAAATAAGCCACTGATGATAATGATGATGGTTGGAAACGGTAGGTTTTTATTTGGATGGGTGGGTGGATCAATGGGTTTGAATTTATTAAGGGGGACGGGGAGGAAAAAAATAATAATTATATTTGTTATATTTATTACTATAATATTTTGTTGTGTTTTACAAAAATAATTAATTGTTGTTTTTTTTGTTTTTTAATATAACATAAGTAAACTGTAGTACTGTAACTTATATATTGTATAATATTATATAATATATTAAATATATATATAATGATAAATGTGTTATTAAAAAAAACACATAGACTTTTCAATACTCAAACAAACAAACAAAACAACATTTATTTATTATTTATTTGTTTTATATAGTTATTGATAGTTTTTTTTATAAAAAAATAAATATAATTCATAATTATTAAAAAAAAATCCATTATCATTAAATATGATAATATACTGTCAAGTATTGCCAATTATTTATATATATATATATATATATATAAGCCATAGACGCATATATATATATACTATGGATCCTTAAAAAAAACTAAACAAACAAATAAAACATAAAAATATTCAAAAAACACTCTCTCATTATTTGATAAATAACATTATATACTATTAATTATAAATTATTTTAATAGATGTTAATTATTAGATTTAATTATAATAATAACAACAATAACAACAAAATAATATTTTCTTATTATTTAAGAAATATACAGTCAGATAATTTTTTATATGTGTATAAATATAATTATATAATATTTAACTAATAGTGTACACAACAATAACAAAATTTAAAAAAAAACAAATTTTATAAAAAAAAAATTTAATATAACTGTGTGTCCAAAAAATAAATTATATATATATATATTGTCCGACAAATTTTTGTTTGTTTGTTTGTATGTACACTATATTTACCTGATTTTTAAAAAAAATTAACTTAAGTTAACTTAACATAATAATACTAATATAATGGACGAAAATTAATTTTTTTAAAATATAGATAATCATCATGGTACATTAAAGTTAAATAGACTCAAGAGAGATAAATAAAAATATAAAATTAAAAAATAATAATAACATTTTTAATTATGCTACATTTATTATTTATTAATTTTTWTTTTTTTTTGTATTTTATAACATTATAGTAGCTATAAAATTAATTAGTGGTTTTAAAATGTTTGTTTTATTGTTAATATAAAGTTTTTAAGTATTTGTTAAATTTTTATTGATAATAAACATGTATATTATTTGTTAATAATATAATTGAAAAAATTAATAGAAATTACAACTTTGTAATATTTAATTTATTTTCTATTATTATTATTATTATTATTATTATTATTATTATTATTATAAAGTTAATAGTATTGATAAAATAACTTTTTGTATAACAAGGTTTATATAATGAAATTAATATAATCAATATTTTGAGGGAAAAAATTAATACATAAAATGTTTTCTAGTTTTTAGATATGAAATAAATATTGATATATAGTTTAAAAATTACAAACAAACAAAAAACAAAAATTTATAAATACTATGTATAAAAATAAAATCTTGTAATAATAAAATTATAATTTTGTTGAGTTAATAAAAAACAATTTTTGCTTAATTTATAAATAATTTGTTTTCCTTTAATAATAGTTTTTATAATTAATTAATTTATTTATTATAAACTCTCTATTCAATCAAAGACAATGGTTTAGTCGGATAACAAAATTATTATTATTTAAAAAAAATTATCAAATAAAAAATAAATATATAATATATAATAGAATTAACTTAAAAATTAATAATACAATACAACAGCAAAATAATTTTATTATATTTTTTTTTTAGATAATAATAATAATAATATAGTGATATTTATTTAGTTTTAATTTCATTTACAAATATCAGATAATTTATTATTATTTTAATTACAAATTAAATAACTTATTGATAGACTATAGAAACATAATGTTTAATCTAATTTAATTGTTAAGATTTAGACATTACCCTTCCCTTACCACCGACTTAACCCTTAGACCCACCATTTTGTCCCCCTTTTTGTCCACCATTTTGCCCACCTTTAGACCCACCATTTTGTCCACCTTTTGATCCACCATTTTGTCCACCTTTTGATCCACCATTTTGTCCACCATTTTGTCCACCATTTTGTCCACCGTTTTGTCCACCATTTTGTCCACCTTTTGATCCACCATTTTGTCCACCATTTTGTCCACCTTTTGATCCACCATTTTGTCCACCGTTTTGTCCACCTCTAGGTCCACCATTTTGTCCACCATTTTGTCCACCATTTTGTCCACCATTTTGTCCACCATTTTGTCCACCATTTTGTCCACCAGTTTGCCAACTAGTTTGCCATCCATTTTGTCCACCATTTTGTCCACCTCTAGGTCCACCTCCAGGTCCACCATTTTGCCAACCATTTTGTCCTCCATGGTGTACAACATGATGTACAACATTAGGTTCCCAATTACGACGTCTATTATTTAGTCGCCAAGGTCTCCAAGGTCGCCAACCTCGTCGGGGTCCCCTAAATCTTAGCCCCCATTTTAACATAACATCTTTTTTAGGTAGCGGTCCATTCAGTATATTATTGACTTTTCTGACCACTTCATTGAACTTTTTGGACAACTCTAGTACTTCATTGTCACTTAATTGGGATTCACTGGTACTTCCGTTAATTGTTTGGATCACTAAATAGATAGATAGATAGATAGATAAAAAGAGAGAGAGAGAGAGAGTTTAAAAGTCAAGACAAAAAAAATTAATAAATAGTTTAAAAAACAAAATTATTAATAATTTAAAATAATTTTCAATTATAATATTTTTATTTAAAAATTACCAAACAATGCGATAACAATTAGACAAAATATATTAAATTTTAACATTATTATTTTTTATTAAAAAAATTTATTGCGTTTTAACCATTTTATTCAACTATAATATACGATACTAATCAATAGGTAATAATAAATTATTAATATTTTTTCTAATGGCGATTAATTTGATTGATTTATAAATATATTTAATTACGTCAATCATATTTAATTAGAGGATTTAAAATAGAAATATTTTTTATTGAATAATATATTATGTTTGAAAACATACTTTTTTAAAAAATAAAATTGATAATAATTTTATAACAAATAACCATATTTTTAGTTAAATTTTTTAAATAGTTAAAAATTATAACTATATTTAATTATTTTTTTTAAATCTTTGTAATAATTATAAATCTATAATTTTTTTTTGAGATTATTTTTTATAATTTTTCACTAAAACCGATATTGTTTTATTTTTTTAAAACATGTATATAATTAAATATCTTAATTAATTAAAAATCTAATAATTGCAGTAAAAAATAAAAATACAAATACATTGAAAAAAATATAAAAAATTAATTAAAATAATTATTTATTAGATTACTAAATTTTTAAAATTTTATTATATAGCTCAGTATAGGCTATCCATATATACTTATCAAAAAAAATGGTTACAAAAAAATTAAATTAATTTAAAAAAATAATTATTCTAAACATAAATGTATAATTAATTTATTTAAAAATTGTAATTCATTGAAGATTATTTTGTTATTAATATTTTTTTTAGTACTTCACTTAATATTGTTTTAATTAATTAATTAATTTTTTCTATTTATAAACATGCTAGTATTTTATAATATTTTTTTTTGTTACAAATTGTAATATAATGATATAGCATCTATTTTTTTTAAATACAAATTAATTTATTGATAGACATTAATATATATATATACTGTATATATTTATTACTTTTAAAAAATAGTTTATATGAGAAATAGGTCCAGTAGTTCAACCATATTGTCAACCATTTCGTCAACCATTTTGCTTACCCTTACGTTTATTTTTACGTTTATTTTTACGTTTATTTTTACGTTTATTTTTACGTTTATTTTTACGTTTATTTTTACGTTTATTTTGCGACCGTTTTAATAAAACAAGTTTTTTCTGTCCATTAAGTATATCATTGACTTTTCTAACCATTTCATTGAACTTTTTTTTTTGTGGACAACTCTAGAGTTTATAAATGCAATTAAAATAATCAAATAATACATAAAAATGTTTTCTAGTTTTTAGATATGAAATAAATATTAATATATATATATATATATATTTATAGTTTAAAACAAATTACAAATAAACAAAAAACAAAAATTTATAAATACTATGTATTAAAAAAAAATCATGTAATAATAAAATTATAATTTTGTTGAGTTAATAAAAAAAAAGTTTTGTTTAATTTATAAATAATTTGTTTTCCTTTAATAATAGTTTTTTTTTTAAATAATTAATTTGTTATTTTAATTATTAATTAAATAATTAATTATAACTAGATAATGGTTTAGTCGGACAACAAAATTATTGTTATTATTATTATTTTCAAAAAATTATTAAATAAAAAAAAATGATAAATAATATATTATAGAATTAACTTGAAATTAATAATACAATATAATAATAATAATAATATAGTAATAAATATTTAGTTTTTTTTTCTTTACAAATATCAGATAATTTATTATTATTTTAATTACAAATTAAATATTGATATACTGTAGAAAAATAAAGTAGAATATAATTGTTAATACCCTTTTGATCAACCATTTTGTCCACCTCTAGGTCCGCCATTTTGTCCACCATTTTGTCTACCATTTTGTCCACCTCTAGGTCCGCCATTTTGTCCACCTCTAGGTCCGCCATTTTGTCCACCTCTAGGTCCGCCATTTTGTCCACCTCTAGGTCCGCCATTTTGTCCACCATTTTGTCTACCATTTTGTCCGCCTCTAGGTCCACCATTTTGCCCACCTCTAGGTCCGCCATTTTGTCCACCTCTAGGTCCACCATTTTGTCTACCATTTTGTCCACCTCTAGGTCCACCATTTTGTCTACCATTTTGTCTACCTCTAGGTCCACGATTAGGTCTCCGATTACGACGTCTATTATTTCGTCGCCAATAGAATCGTCTTAGGGGTAAAATTCTTAGCCCCCATTTTAGCTTAACATCTTTTTTAGGTTGCGGTCCATTCAGAATATTATTAACTTTTCTGACCACTTCATTGAACTTTTTGGACAACTCTAGTACTTCATTGTCACTTAACTGGGATTCACTGCTTATACCGTCAATTGTTTGAATCACTAAATAGATTGATAGATAAAGAGAGAGAGARAGAGAGAGAGAGAGAGAGAGAGAGAGAGAGAGAGAGAGAGAGAGAGAGAGARAGAGAGAGAGAGAGAGAGAGAATATAAAAGTAATACAAAAAAAATTAATAAATAAAATAAAATAGTTTTTAAAAAACAAAATTATTAATAATAATTAATATATTTAAGACAATTTTCAATTATAATATTTATTTGTTGTATAAATTACCAAACAATGCGATAACAATTAGACAAAATATATTAAATTTTAACATTATTTATTTATTTATTGTGTTTTAACCATTTTATTTGACTATAATATACTGTATTATACTAATCAATAGGAAATAATAATTATTTTTTTTTCTCTAATGGCGATTGATTTGATTGATTTATATAAGGGTTAAGCAAGGTTTTGGATTTTAGGTGGGATTTTAGGGGGTAGACTGGGGTGAAATCTACAAAATTCTCGAAAAATCTTAGGGGGGGGGTATGGGCGCTTTTATTGCATTTTTAAACATGTATATAATTGAATATTTTAATTAATTAAAAATATAATAATTACAGGAAAAAATAAAATTACACATAAAATGAAAAAAATTAATTAAAATAATTATAATTAATAATTAATAATACTTAGATTACAAAATTTTTTTAATTTAATTATATAGCTCAGTATAGGCCATCTATATATATATATATATACTATTAACAAAATGGTCACAAAAATTTTAATTAATTTTTTTTAAAATTTATTCTAAACTTAAATCTATAATTATTCTTTTTAAAAAAAATTATTTTACATATTGATTATAAACTAATTGAAGATTATTTTAATTATTTTTTAGTACTTCTATCAAATATTGTTTTTTTTTGTTTTAATTAATTAATTAACTAATTTTTTTGTATTTATAAATATGCTATAATTTAATAATAATTTTTTTTACAAATATAATATTATGATATAGCTGCTATAATATAGCATCTAATTTTTTACTTTACAAATTAATTTATTGATAGACAAACATGTAGCATTTATTAATATATATTTATTACTTTTAAAAATAGTTTATATCAGAAATAGGTCCAGTAGTTCAACCATTTCGTCTACCATTTCGTCTACCATTTCGTCTACCATTTCGTCTACCATTACGTCTACCATTTCGTCTACCATTTCCCCTACCATTACGTCTACCATTTCGCCTACCCTTACCCCTACCCCTACCCCTACCCCTACCTCTACCCCTACCCCTACCCCTACCCTTACGTCTATTATTTCCTTTATTTCGCGACCGTTTTAATAAAACATCTTTTTTAGCTGTCTGTCCATTGAGTATATCATTGACTTTTCTGACCACTTCATTGAACTTTTTGGACAACTCTAGTACTTCATTGTCACTTAATTGGGAATCACTGTTAATCCCGTCAATTGTTTGAATCACTAAATAAATAAAGAAATAACAAAAACAAAATTATAATTAATATTATATATACAGTATATAGAGAGTATATATATATATAATTTATAAGATTTTTGTATTAATTACCAACTAATGTGATAACAATTAGACAAAATATATGAAATTTTAACATATTTTTATTGATTTTTTTAAATGAAATTATGTTAAACTATAGTATACTAATCAATAGAAAAATAATGAATAAATATTATTTTTGATGGCAATTGATTTGAATTATTTTTAATATATATATATATATATATATATATATATATATATTAATCTTATTTACGTCAATAATATTTAATTAAGAATTTAAAAAAAAATGAAATTAATATAATAATAAATATAAGTATTTTTATTTTATTTATTAGTTAATTAAATATTATTAGTGGTGCTAACTATTTGTTAATTTGTTTGCTTAAAAATATTTTTTAATTATTGATAATAATAATAATAATTATAAATCTATATACTGTATATACTTTTTTATTTTACCTGTATATCATCTTTTCAATTATATAATACAATATTGGAAAATAATTTTTTAATACAAGTTTTAAATTATGATATTTCACCATAGACTGTAACGTTATATTTACAGTATGTAATATATATATATATATACAATATATATTTAATATAGTTGTATTAATACAGGTAAATGTTTTTTTTTGAAATGTCATTTAATAATTAGTTATCAAATGTGTTTTTAAAAAAAAAATTGTTTCCATTGAATTAGTTGTCTAATAATGATAATAATAATATTGTCATAATAAATATAATGTATAATAATTAAAATCTAATGCTTGTATTTCAAACTTATATATATATATATATATATATATATATATATATATATATATATATATATATATATAATATACAAATAATCAAACATAAGAATATTCTGTGCTATAAGTTTACTCAAAAAAATAAAATAAAAATAAAATAATAAATAATTTCATTGTATAAAATATTATACTAAATAATATTTTATTTAAACTTCATTTAACTATTTACCAATACATACCAATACATATTTATTACGTAACAGTACATATGTATTACTGTAAAATTTTACAATAATACAAACATACAGTGCCATATATATATATATACTGATGTATGTATTGTTACGTAATAAACATGTATATGTAGTTTTTTTCTGGGAACTACCAGTGCCGCTAGCTGCCCAATATCATGCATAATAATTTATTGGATTATATATACATATACAGTATATATATACAGTATAGTATATTATATATATATACATGTATATATGCATRTATATATATATATATACATTATTTTAACGCATATTCTGTATGTTTTGTTTATCAATTTCATGGCAATACATGTCATGTCATATTTATAGTAATATATTTCTAATGATGTTTTTCCCCTAATTATTATATTATTATTGACTAAAATTTATAATATAAAAAAAATTGTCATTTATTGCGTTTCTATATTGAAATAGATATTTATTTGAAAAATTATATATATATATATATTAGTCATAGATAACGGAAATTGAATGATAATTTATTAATTTTTGATTTTTAAAAATAATAAATATTTTTTAGTATTAATATTTTTACAACAAAACAAAAATTGTTGTCTATTTATAGTAAATTCCTATTTTATATAATAATAATAATAATGTATTAAAAAGTATTAATAGAGAGATAAAGTGTTTTTAATAATAAGGGTTTTAATAACTGTTTAATTGACAATAATATTAATTTCATCTACCAGTGCACACACACACACACACACCAGTAATATTTGATATATTATTAAATGTAAATTATAAAATAATTAAATTAAAATAAAATAATTTAGATTTCAAACAACAACAAAAATAAATACCAAACAATATAATGGATAACACAAGAACCGCTGGTATAATGATGACTACAAGCCCTGGTTTTCGGGTGAAAAAGTCGATTATCTGCGGGTTTGCCCTAATCTGTATCATCTGGAGTGTCGTTATTATGATAATCCGGGATAAACTGGTCGATCAGGCAATGATTCATTATCATAGATTAAACGATTACGATCCCGACTATGAGGAATCAGTTAAGGTATCAGTTTTAGTAGTAGTAGTAGTAGTAGATACAGTTCCCTACAGCCCTGCCCTACCCTACCCTCCCCACCACCACTCAATAAATTAATACATTTAAAACTTAAATTTTTATGTCTATTTTTTTTGTTGACAGAGTATATCCAAAAACTTGGTCATAGTGTTGGCTCTGCTGGCAATACTTGTCCATACAGTCGGACTGATCGGCGCCATCAAAGAGCAGCTGTGTATGACTATAACCTATGCTGTACTGTTGACACTGTCGGCTATGGCATCCATCGACTGGACCATCAAAGGTGTCTATCCGTGGTATAACTTGCTGTTTGTTTCGCTGGTGACTATTACAGCCTATTCGTATGCCCGCGATTTGTATCGTCGACGCCGTCAACAACAACTGGCCAGTTCAGTACCGATTGTCATTCAATCGGCCGCCGCACCAAATATGGTGATGATGGCCGACATTGGCAACGGCGTCGGCGGCGGTGGTGGTGGATATGCTGGTACAGTACCGGCACAGTGGCCATTGATCTACAATCAAACCAATGGTGGACAAAACCATTATCAAGTTGGTGGTGGTGGTCAACAACAACCACCCGGTTATGGACAACCATATAATGTTGCTGAAGGACATGTGGTGTACAATGAAAAAGATATGCCTCCCAGTTATTATCCTTAATATGTCTGGGATATGTGGGTGGGTGGTTGGGTGGTTGAGTAGGAGTGAGTGAGGGAGGTGTGGGGGTTAGGTTTATATGAAATTGATTGATAATTATAAATGATTGTTATGTTTAATAGCATTTATTGTTTTTGGTGTGTGTGTGTGTGTGTGTTGTGTAATATTTTATTTTTATATTTAAAATGATCAAAATGTATGTATGTATGTGTGTGTGTGCATGGACAATTTTATCTAGATTATTATCTAGATAATATGACTTAATTTTTAATAACAGTTAATAATCACCATATATATATACTTTAGTGTAATTTAATTTATTCAATTAATTATTTTTATTGATAATATAATTATAAAAATCTTTTAGTTATTTAAACTACTATTTAAAAATATGTTGAGAAATGTTATACATTTATTATTATTTAAAAAAAAAACAATTATCATATTTTTAAATAAAAATAATTATTATTTATTGAAATATATATACAGTATATATATATATTGTTAGAGATCTACTATAAATGCTTAAAAGTATTTTTTTATATAAATAATTGCATAATTTTATATATTTTTTTAAAAATTCTTATATTTTGTTTATGCTTGAAATAAATACATAAATTTTATTATTAAAATTTAACTTTATCAAATGTAATTTTTCAATAAATAAATTTATTTAATCAAATAAAATAAATCGATCATAAATACAACAACAACAACAAAATTATTAATAATTTATTATAATTTATCTAATTATACATAAACTATATAAATGGTAATTATTAAATATTTTTAAAAATTTCTAAGATTTCTATTAATAATATATGTATAATATATAAAAATTTTATAATATAGATAATTTCATAATAATAATAAAAATAACAAAATTATTTATTAATATATTATTTTTAAACCGAAATAATTAGGCATAATTAAACTGCTAGCTAATTATTACCATGATACTATAATAATTGTTAGTATTAAATGCAAAATAGATGATCATGGCAGTTTTTTTCATGTGTTAACATTTTCAAATAATTTCATTGAAATATTTATTAGTACAGTACAATAATTTATAAGTGTATTTATTAAAAATTAAATATATTTATATATACATTTATTTATTTATTTAATAAAGTTTATTTAATAAAATTATATAACTTAAACATATATATATATATAAATTACATATTTTATATACATATATTAAATATTGATTCTAATTTTAATTGTATTAATAGTAATAGTTAAATAAATACACTTAACTTTTTATGTATTTAATTTTTTTTTCTTAACTATCTCATTGATATTTAATTTTTTATAAATTCAAAATAAAATAAAAATTACTTATTTTACTAAAATGACTACAAAATATATAATGTCGTATAATATTATTCAACTATATATATATATATATACTACTCTAAACATAATAAATACAGTAGTTTATATTAAGCTGTATATTATTTTGTTGTTGTTGTTGTTGTTGTTGTTGAATACTTATATAGCCTATAACATAAAGAGCTCAGTTACATAACAATTTAGAGTAGACTATAAATTTTATGCCTTTCCCTCTCACACCCTACCCCCGGATCCCCACTACCAGTGCCACTAACAAGTATCAAATGTCAAAATTCATAGGAATTTATTGAATATGCTTATCAGTATAAAGTTCTAGCAAACAATTTTTTGTTTATATAATAGTTATATATATATATATATATATAAATTATATTAGTTTTCACTGTTGCAATGTTTTTACCAAACATACTGGTAGTTATTACTGTACATCAATTAACCAACACATAGAAAACAAGTTAATGAAAACTTTTTTGTAGTTTTAAAAAAATATATTTTGTGAAAAAAATACAATCATTAAATACATTGACTGACTATTATTATAGGTTTTTATAAATTTAAATTTAAATAATTTAAATATCCTATAATTACTATCAACTATCATAAAACTACCAAATGATGATAGCAACAAATGGGACAGTTAGGCAATCAGCATCATCAGCAGCAACAGCACCGGGATTTTCGATAAAAAAGTCAATCGTATCGGTGTCGGCTATAATACACATTTGCGGATGTGTCATAATCATAGCCATCTGCGACTATATGGTCGACCAATTGATGAACAACAACAACAACAACGACAACAACATTGATGACAATTATCATCAAAAAACTCTAGACACATCATATAAGGTTAACATACTGTTCCCAATTTAAAAAAAACATACTGTTTCCACACAATAACTTAATTAATTAATTAATTAATTAATAACAGAGCTCTATCAAACTGGTTGTCTATGCGGTGGCTGTCCTATCGTTAATCATACATTTGATTGGACTGATCGGTGCCATCAAAGAGCACTACTGTATGACTGTAGGCTATTTGGTGGTACAGATTCTGGAGGTCATACATGCGGTTAAACTGGTCAACGAAGATAATTATTATCCGTGGTATATGTTACTGATAGAGACAGCCGTTTGTCTCATCAGTTTTTCGTATGCCAGAGATCTGCATCGTCGCCGCCGACGCCGTCCCCAACAATCGCTGTCCGCCGACGCCTTACCGAACATTAGCAGCCGTATCACTAACACAACCACAACGACTACTACCAACCGATATGTACCGACCGATCGACAGTGGCGGCCGTTGTTGTTGGTCAACAACGACCAACGACCAAATGGTTTTACCGTAGATATGCCGCCGAATTACAATCAAGTTAGTGGTGGTGGTGGTGGCCAACAATCATCGTCGGCTCCGCCCAGTTATAATCAACTGTATAATAATAATAATACCAATCTTCTTGATTGTGTAGTACCAGCGGGTACTGGAAGAGGACAGGTATACAATGAAAAAAGTACACCACTTCTCAGTGATTACATGTAAGAAATATTCGGGAGGTGTCGGAGGAGGAGGAGGGGGTAAATAATAGGAAGTATTACAGGATTTATTGGTTTAATTGTTTGGGTTATAATTTTGAAGTCATGATAACATCTATATAAATAATTACCTTTTTTTAGTATTATAACAATTATTAATTTTGTATTAATTACAGTATATTATCTATATATGCAATATTTTTTTTTAAAAATTATTAATTTTTGATTCATTTTTATCTAAAATAATATTTTTTTTATTATAAATATAAGACAGTATTAATTATCAAAATTATTAATTATTCAGTACATGTATAGTATTTTAATTATAAGTAATATTAGAGTTTATTAAGTTTTTTTTCTTCAAATTAATAATTATTATCTATTAACTATTATTATCAAATGTTGTTTAAAATTTTTAAATACAATATTTTTTTAATATATAAAAAACAGCAACAATTTTGTTTAAATTAAATTAATTAATAATTTAATTATTATAATTATAAATAGTGTTGAGAGAATTTTTTTAAAAAAATAATAATAAATAAATATAAACAACTGATATTATATAAAAAAAAATTATGTAAAATTATACTAACATTTTTTATAAATAATAAAATATTTTTTTTTAAATAAATAATTATAGATGATGTTTAATTTTAACATTATAAAATAGATTATTTTTTAAAATTACTATTTTTAAATTATATACATATATAATCTATTAAAGTTAATTATTATTATAATAATAGTTAATATATAATAGTTAGTATATAATTGTAATAAAAGTTACTTGTATAGTATAATCCATTAATTGTATTTCAAAAAATTAAAAATTTTAACTATTTAAGTATTTTTTATGTTTAATAAAAAATAACAATTATTGCAATAGTATTACTCAATAGTTTGCAATAATAATAGCCATATTTATGTGTATTTAGGTTTCATTTACCCTTTAACCCTATAGTCCTATTGGTTGATTCAATACTGATTTATAAGTATATATATATATATATATATATATATATATATATATATATATATATATATATAAGTACAGTATATAATATTATATAATACATAAAGTTATTAGTCATAGACATAACCAGATAGAAAAATTTGTTTGAAAATAATAGTTTGAAAAGTAACAGTAAATTACAAGTATATTTCAACATTTAATTATTATTTGTATAATTATTATAAGTATTTATTTTATTTTATTTTTTGAATTTTAGTTTTTTTAAAATATTTCCACAAATAAAAGTATTTCCATAATTTAATGGTCAAAAAATAAAAAACAATGGTAGACACAGTTAGACCAACAGCACCGGGAGTTTTGATTATTAAGTCAATTATAACGGTTGCAACGAGTATCCATATTATCCATTATACTGTACTTATAGCTTATGTATACTATATGATGAACTATAGTAGTGATGTTCATACGGTACCTACTGTTCCGATTATTTCAATCAATAAGCCACCATTTGTTGTCTACCCGATACCTGTCCATCTGATTGTCAGCGCAGTGTTTATCCTATTCATACTAATTCATTTGGTCGGACTAATGGGTATCATCACTGATAACCGTTGGATTACCGTAGCCTATGCTATCGTACAGACTATGACAGCCATAAAATCATTCAAACAGTTATTTACTGGTGACTATCCATTGATTTTGTTTCTAATAGATATACAAATATGTTTGCTAACATATTTTTATGCCAGTGCTCTCAACCCCCGAAACCATTGTCAACAATCGGTGTCAGACACCGCTACAGCCACCGCCGCCATACCGACCATTAGCAGCAACCGTATCACTAACACAGCCACCACCACCACCACTACTACATTACCAAACAGTTATGTACTGACCGACCGACAGTGGCAGCCGTTGTTGGCCGTAGATATGCCGCCGAATTACAATCAAGTTAGTGGTGGTGGTGGCCAACGATCATCGTCGGCTCCGCCCAGTTATAGTCAACTGTATAATAGTACTAATAATGTTGGGCTGGAGGTGTAGTTGGTTTGATTGATTGGTTGATTGATTGATTGTTTGTTATAATTGATTTGATGATTATTATATTTATGATTAATATAATTAATTGCTATAATATTAGTGATTCAATATAACAATTATCATTGATTTTCTATTGTATTAGTGTTTTTATTTCCTAATTTAAACACAATTTTATTATAAGTTTTATATTATAATTAAACATTAATTTAATTATCATAAAATACAACGATTCTATATATATATATATTTAAAATCTATATATTAAAAAAAAACTTTTAAATGTATTTTCAATATATTAATTTACAGGAAATTGTGTTTTTTTAATAATTATATACAATAATTATATCATTTTTTCATTTTTATATTTAACATTATAATAATAATAAAAATGTGTGTTTTCAACAAATATGTAACAAATTAATCTATAATATAATTACTTTTAAATATATATGTAAACTTAAAATACTTAAACTATAGAATTATTAATTTTCAAAATACAAGTATTTTTTTAATTAATTATACATTTTTTGTATATCATTATTACATTTATTCACTAATGAATTATAATTTATATTATTGTATTAATTTTATTATAATATTTTTAAAAAAAATAAATTCAAAGTTTTATATTTTAGTTTTATTAATTATTAATTTAATTATTTTAAACTAATAATATCGTATATATATAAAATTATTTTATTATAAAATAAATATAATAATTTTAAATTATTATTTGTTTAACTTTTAAATTCAATTATAATATATATATATAACTTATAATTAGTATTAAATATTTAGTATAAAAAGTTTTATTTATATAAAAAAATATATAATAATTAATTAATTTTTTTTTTAAAAAGTATAATTATATTTTAATTATATTTATTTTTTGGATAAATTACACTGGTTAAATTTATTTTTTTTATTAAAACTGCATTATTGACGTTATTTATGTTGAATTTACATATTAAAGCATTAAATATTTTTTAAACATTTTATAAAAAGTACAGTAATAACCCATTATTGTTAATATGATATTCTATAATAAAAAAACAAAACAATGTGTTATGTCTATAGTATAGAACTCCATACTGTATATTATTCTATAAACCATTGAACACTACATTTTACTTTAATACTATTGATACTACTAATTGAATACAGTCTAACACTAATATATAGTACAGTATTTTTTGCACACAATGTTATACAAAGTCAATAGCAATAGGCTATAGGGAAATGTGTGTTAATTATTATTATACTGTAGTATAGACTGTATTAATACCACATTTAACTGACTTAAAGTATTAATGTATTGTTTAATAAAAAAAATATAAATAAATAATAATTAAAAAACAATAAATAAATTTTTTTTTAAAGTAAATAATCGGCAATTAATTTCTACGGTAATCACTGTCCACTCGCACACACACATAGACTGAATGGCCAACAATACGGGTAACGATATGAACACTACCGCAGCTGCCGATGACAACAATCATTTCGCCGCCGCCACATCAGCCGCAGAGGTTAGTAATAATTTGTGACCACATTTCGGTAAAATTTATAAATGTCTTGTTGTCATTGCCAACAGCAGAACCACCGACGGTCATCATCATCGGCGGCCACAACGACAACACCGAAGAGACGGCTGTCAAGCGATGGCCATAAGGGCGCGTCGCCGGGAGCCGAAAAGGGTTCATCGTCGGCGGCCAAACGCCAGAAACGGGGCAAACAGTTGCGCGACCAGAATGCTCCGCGGGTACCGCTGAATGGTTACGTACGATTTCTGAACTCGAATCGCGATCGTGCTAAAGTGGCCAATCCGGGACTAAGTTTTGCCGATATTACCAAAATATTGGCCGCCGAATGGACGGCAATGGATGTCGAAGCTAAACGCAAATATCTGGATGAAGCAGAAAAGGCACGCGAAGTCTATATCAAAGAACTGGAAGAATATCAGCGAACGGATGCCTATCAGGAGTTTCTGGTAAAACAAAAACAACGACGCGAACAAAAGCTACAGCAAAAACAGTTGGCCGCGAGTGGTGGCGGTGGACCAGCTAATAGTGGTGGTAGCGGTCACGGCAAACATGGATCAGGTGGTGGCCACTTGTCGGGTATGTGTTTCTATTGTTTAGATGGCTATAGACGACATTAGACACGATATTATCAGCAATTTGTTTGACACTATTTTGTTGTTATTGTTGTTGATATAGTTAATAACGATGAAAATCAAGCACTGGACACCACCACCATCAACACCACCACCTCAGGAGGTGGCCTCACCGTTGATGTCAGCTCGGGTACACTGGATCTGCCGATTTTTACCGAAGAATTTCTCGACCATAACCGTACCCGCGAACATGAACTAAGACAACTACGGAAATTGAATACCGAATACGAAGAACAGAATGCTATCCTAAGCAAACACATCGACAATATGAAGTCGGCCATCGAAAAGCTGGAATCCGAAACTGTTCAGCAGCGGTCAAACATCCAGCAGATTGGCCAACATTTGAATCAATTGCGCCAGACATTGGTGAAAAGTTTTGCTGCCGTCGGTATGCCCGGTACTGGCGATGTGCCGACAATGGACAACGTTGACGACTATATTGTCAAATTGCACGCAAAACTTACCGTCAAAGATAAATCACGCGATACGGAAGCACTGGCCGAACGGGTGCGCGGTATTGTGGCGGCCATTGACTACGGTTTTCATTGATTTGATTTACCGCTAATTGGTTTTTGACTTATCAATGTATAACCAAACAAATCTATTGTTTTTAAAATACATATATATATTTATATTTATATATATATGAAATATTTTTCTTTATTTTTAATTTGTTAATTGTTATATAATTTATACATATTATTATCACAACATATTATCACAAAAAACAACTATTATATTATTATTATTTTTACTGAATTTCAACATTTATTTCCTATATATATATATATATATATATCTAAATGTAATGTAAATATACTTCCAGATTATATATATAATATGATTAACCAAATTATATTCAAAAAGATACTGTACTTATATTTATTCATACAATTATATCATTCATTTAAATACGAATATAACAGTTAATAACCAAAAAACAAACAAAAAAATTGTATTTAAAATAATAATATTGTAATATTTTCAACTAAAAATAATATTTATACTAATTTTTTTTTTATCAAATAACTAAATTCAATAAAATATATTATTCATATAATTTACTATATAAGATAATTAATGTTTCATTGGGGGAAAAAATCATTTCAATATATACTTTACTTACACAATATGTGTTTTGAAACACTCAAACAAAAAAAATTAAATAGTTTTCTCACCATTTAGTTTTTTTATCATAGTTACCACCGATTAGCATATAAATTGCTGATAATTAATAAATAAAATATAAAAATAATAATAAGCATACAATACATGATTCATAAATTTATAGTCAATTTTTTTTTGAATATGATATAACAAAAAATAAAATTTGATATAAAAAATAATAGATATGTTATTATTAAATATACTAATAAGTAATAAAAAAAAGTTGAATCATAATTTTTGTTTAGTAATTAATAAAATTGTTTTTATTTAAATTTTTTTTTAAATAGAGAGAGAGAGAGAGAGAGAGAGAGAGAGACAGAGAGAGAGAGAGATTTCATACCTAAAAATCGGTTATTATTATTATAATAACCACTTTATTATTATTATGACTGGTAGTGATGATGATGACAATGATGATACCGGTGCTTATCAAGTGATTGCCATAAAGAGAGCAACTCCATGACAGTGTTGTTGATCTCAATTTACAATTATATTAAATAAATAATAATAAAATGAGATATAATTTACGGTTTGGTCATACAAAACCCGACTGTCCACGGATAAGCTCTCTTTACGGGACAATACTTTTTTTTTAATGGTGTGATTAAATAACAATTGTTGTCGACTTTGAGGTTTTTTTTGAGGGGGATATAACCATCTAATAACATACAATTTTTTATATATATACAATACCGGTTCCCATAAAAAGTAAAAAATAACTATTTTTTTTATATATATAAGTTATATAATAATGTTGAGAATTATATTTAAAAAAAAACTTATTATTATTATTTTTCAAACAAAAAATTATTACAAATCAATCATTTCATTTACACCAAACATTCAATATTGAAAATATAATGAAATACAATAATATATTAAAATTTATTGAATAGTTTTTCAATACCAACCAATAACTTTTAAAAAATAACTAAATTAACATATTTTTTCAGTTTAAAAAAACTCCCTAATCATACAGTACATAACCTACCTGTCCCCTTTACCTTATTGATACTAACAAAAATATATGATATAAATGAAAAAAACTTAATTAAACAGTCATGTCATAGTCAATACACACACACACACACACACACACACACACATACATGTGTGTGTGTGCGATACCTGTGCTTATGGTGCTGTTGTGTTCACTGGACTAAAAAATAAGAAAATTAAATGATTTATTTGAAGATTATTACCTCCTATTATCAACTTTTTACACACACAYACAYACATACACACATATATAAACACATACATACATACACAMACACATACACATACACATACACATACACATACACACACATACACATACACATACACATACACATACACATACACATACACATACACATACACATACACATACACACATACACATACACATACACATACACATACACATACACATACACATACACATACACATACACATACACATACACATACACATACACATACACATACACATACACATACACATACACATACACATACACATACACATACACATACACATACACATACACATACACATACACATACACTCACACATACACACACACATTGGTTAAACACATAGACATTACAATTGACTTTCAATTAGTAGTCATAATAATTATAAAAACATACAATTTTTAAAAGTTAATTGTTTACCAGATAACAACCCTTAAAAAAATCATATAATAATTATTTATAACATAATACACACTAATTATATAGTTTTAACATTAATTGCATTGTAATTAATATATATATATTACCGTATATATACCGGTATATCAATATATAATAAGATAGATATAAACTATGTTTATTTTTTAGTGTTATCTTTTAAACAAAAAAAAATAATAAAAATTTTTAATTATTTTTTGTTTTATTTTGAATACTTGAAAAATATGTATTAAAATATTTTTTTATAATTACCATATTGTCGATGTAAACTTTATGTTAGTATTAGTTTTTAATAATAATAATAATAATTATAAAAAATATATAAAAACACAAACAGATTGGTAACTTCACAGACACTTCTATACTGATGAAAAAAAATTTAAATAAAATATAATTTATATTAATTAAAATAATAATAATTATGAACTATATTTAATAATAATTTTAGTACAAACTAAAAATTTCTCTTTCTTTAAATGTAATAATAAATACAAATATCACTACAAATGCGGTTAAATGGGTATTAAATAATATTAGTGTCCGTCATAAAAAAAAATAGTGATACCGTATGATAAATATATAGCATATATATATATATTCAAACATTTATATATACATACAATAATAATTTTTATGATATGTATATCACAGTTTTAAAAAAAAATGTAGAAATTGCAACTAAATAAGTAAAAAAGATTAATTATTATCTCAAAAATTATAAAAATATATTTATATATATATATATATTATATGTATGTATATAACGCTTATAATTGCAAAACTCTCTCTCTCTCTCTCTCTCTTTCTCTATCTTTCTCTCTCTCTCTCTCTCTCTCTTTCTCTCTCTTTCTCATAAAACAAATCTAATTGATAAAAAATAAGTAATAAGCAATATTGTTACAAGATAAATTTAATTATTGCATTTTTGTGTAGCTATTTTATCACATACACACACACACACACACAATAATATATATATCATATACTATATAAATACAAAATAACTATAGAAATAAACGGAAAAACTAATAAAAGTCATAAAAAATTATTAGTATTATTATTATTATACGGTATTGTATTTTAATAAATAAATAAAATCCCCATAAATACATATATTTTATATATCACTATATATATGATTGTTAAGTTTGTATAGTTTTATTACTTCACAGTATTACTGATTATACAATTGTTAGAGACTATAGTCTAAGGTATATTGTTTGCCTAATAATTGACACACCCATAAAAATTATTATTATTATTAATATTATCAATAAAATGAAAATAACTTAATTAATTTAATACCAACAATTATTTAAAACAATAATTATTATTTAAGTTACAATTAACTTACTTTTTTTAATTATTAAAAAAATTCAACAACAAAAAAACACTTGTTTTTTGTTGAAATGAATAATAATAAAACACAAATTATTTGATATGATAATAATATTTCTAATAATTATATATATATATTAATTATAATTTACTTTAAACTAATATATTATTATTATTATTACCTACTAATACAATAATATAAAGTTTAAGAGCATTTCCTTGATTAGTTGTATTGATAACAAAATTTAATATATTATATATATATATATATATTGATATATCAATTGAAAAATTGTTTTAAAAATGTAATAATAAATTAGCAAATGTCATCTAGTATCAGCATTTTATATATATATATATATCAATATTATATATACTATATATATATATATATATATCATATATATTATATTCAGCATATATTTATATCAATTTTATTATTGGTATACATTACCGGTATTTCCTTTTAATATTAAAAAATAATATCAATAATATTTGATTATTATTAGTTTGTGATTAAGTTAAAAACAATTTTTAAATTATATAATAATAAATATATTATTTATTTTTGTTAAATTGTTTTCTACTTTACACTGTATATCTATTTATATTCATATATCCAAGTATTCATATTATTTATTTTATATACATTATAATTATTTACTAGACTTTAATTACTATATATAAATTTATATAATATATATATATATATAAATTTAAATATGATATAACAATATGGTGCTCAAAATATTTAAATTATAAACTAACTAAACACATGTTTAATTACTTTGTTATTTTAATAAACTTTTAAAAACTCTTTTATTTTGTTGGCACTCATAATAATTATAAAAACTTTAGATACAGTAGATATATACTGTATATATACTGTATATGTTTTTATAATGTTATTATAAATTGCAAATTATTTATCATTTGCTATTAAGTTATTTTTTTTTATAAAAAAAACTGTAGTTGAAGTGCTGATGTCATTCAATTACATTTTAAATATATATAACTTTATATATTATTTTTATCATTTTTTTCTTAATTTTTTGAAAAAAACGCTAAAATAATAACGATATATATATCATAAATATTTTTTCATATTAATACTATACCGTATATATATATCATAAAACTAAGATAAAATTAGGATAAAAATTAATTGCAACAAAAAATTTAAAAATTAAAATAAGACAACAACAAAATGTGTAGAAAAAAGACAATTAATAATTTTATTAATTTTTTTTTAAATATATAAGTAATCACATAATATTGAACTAATTATAATAATGGATATATTTAATAATTATAATAATAATAATAATAAAAAATAGACAAATAAAATTATAAAGTATATATTATGTTCGTTTATATAATAAGTAAATTATTTTTTTAAAATAATAATTGTAATAATAATAGTACCGTAATTATAATATTGTGTGATAATAACAATATATAATAAATTCAAAAATTCCCAAAAAAATAAGTATCGATTAAATGAAATTTTATAATTAATTTAAAAAAAAAAATTTCTCTCAATGTATCATATTATCAATTATTTTAATTTCCATAAATAGTATGCTAACTGTTTGATTGTATTCAACTAAATCAATATATATATATATATACTGTATATATATCTATAGTTTGTGGGCAGGTATATGATAATAGTCAGGTGTGTGTGTGTGTGTGTAGGTGTATTGAAATAACTAACTGTTCAAAATAATTGGTAGTAATGTTAAAAACTAAATACTAAAAATCATAAGTTAAAAAAACAAGACATCCATCTATTTTTGTCCTTAAAAAGTAATATCTATTTATCAATATATAGATATATATAAAGAAAAGGTATCTCTTTTTTTTAATAATAGTTTAATGATTTGATTTTTGATTTATAATATACAGTATATATATATATATATAATATACGGTAAATGGTATATAAAGTAGATTTTATATAATATATATATATATATATTTAAATTACTGTATATAAATGAAACACTTGGTGTCTATACTTGTATGTGTGTGTGTGTGTGTGTGTAGTTGTGTAACATAGTTATGTATATACAGTATATACTGCATATGTGTGTGTAGTGCGGGTGCAATAAAATTACAACTAAAAATATCCATACATCCAATAATACCCCAGATATTGAGTTTAAAAATAATTAAAATAATAATAAAATGATATTACAATAGATTTATAATAATAATATTAATTATAAATTTGTTTTAACATAAAACGATTAAAAAGAAAAAAAATGAATATAAAAGTAGTGTTGAAAATCAAATAAAAATTTTGTATTAATTAATTAATTAATTATTATTATTATTATTGTCAATGAAATTATTTAATTAATTAATTGTTGATATTATTATCATTTTTTGTTTTGTTTTTTTCTATGTACTTATGTATGTATGCATGCATTGAATGACAATATTATTATTAATAAATCAGTTATTTATATAATTGTTTACTATATATATATCAATATATTATTAATAGTAATATTATTAGTAATAGTAGGTAATTGTAATTAAATGGCAATTATTTAATAATAATAGTAATAATTAATAATAAAAATAATTAAATCCTATTATCCTTCGTAAGAACCAATTCTTTTGAGACGAACTATAATAAAGAGAAAGAGAGAAAAAATACAAAAAATTAATTTATTAATCATATAATAATTATCGTTAAAATTATAGGTTAACTTATAAATTATTATTATTATTTAAAAAAATATTTTTGTGTAATATATTAAATTATATACATTTATTAATTAATTCTTTGGGTAAACATTTATCATCAAAAAACATAAAATAACTTTTGCCAACAATTTTGAAAATACAACGAAAAAATTTTTTGTTATTTAGCGTACAGTAGATATATATGTGATATATATATATATACACACAATATATTCCGCATATTTTTATAAAACAATTTTCTAAATAATTTATTATCATTATTATTATTATTATTATTATTATTATTATTATTATTATTTCTATATTATCATTATTTTTATTAGCTAGAAATATATTTCAATCATCGCTGAAACCAATAAATTATTTTGTATTTTTCTAATGAACTACTAGTGTAAGTCAATTGCATAAACAATGTACTGAATAATAATCTCTAAAACTAATTATATATATATATATATATATATAATATAATTATATAAAATTTTTATATACATTATAAGCGAGTGAAAAATATGTACACAAAAAAATTGTTTTGAATTTTTCCAACTAAAACAAATGTAAACAACTAATTGTTGATATTATCTCATTATTATTATTATCATAATAATAATTATTACTATTTATTATAATTACAGTATAAATCTGGGATTAAATTTATTATAATAAAACTTTATTCAAATATCATAATTAAGTAGACATCAGTAAACTTTCTATGATTTACAACAACAACAAAACTTTTAAAAATATGTATAAATTTTATTTAGGAAAAAAACTACAACAACAAAATTTTCCTAAAAATTTTTATAAATATTATGGTTTATTCATAATTTTCACAATAAAAATTAGATGTAAATATTTTTAAGTGTTTTAAACTATAATACTTATTGTAGAAAAACATTTTACAATAAACACTTTATTGTATATAAACTTTTATATATATATATATATATATATATATATATACAGTATATATATATTTTGAATATTTTCCATAATAATAGGTAAATATAATAAATTATACTATTTTTACACACATATGATGTTTGTTTAAAAATATATACACAAATATTGACTAAATATCTTGGAATATAAATTATATTATATAATTAAAAAATAATATATATGTGTGTTTTTCTATTATAAATATATGCAAATATCATATTATTTTTTTTTATTTATAAATATCATTTAAGTTTAATCTGGTATTAAAATTTTTATTTAAACATAATATATATATATATATATATATATATATATATTCTCTAATATCATTCCCTGACATTGAATTACTAAATGAAATAAATATTTTTTAATTTTCCAATTCATTGGCAATTATACACACTATTGAATTGATTTGAATTGAATCCAAGGTTTAGGTTTAAACTCTCTCTCTCTCTCTCTCTCTCTCTATTCAGGAATATTCCTGACGTATGTGACATTCAGGGAGTAGTAAGTGTTTGGCCGCACAGGGAGTAGTTAGTTGTTAGTTCGTGACTAGTCATATGAACAGTGTGTTCACAAAAATATATAGATATATATACACACACATAGCTGTTAATGAGTGAACAGTTAGCTCTTTTATGGTGTGTGTGTGTGTGTGCGGAGACAATGTCATATACAAAGAGTGTGTTTTGTATGCACAGACACGACTCGGATGTGGCGATGACAAGTGTGTGCACACCAAACCTAACTTCCCCCCCCCCCTAAATATCTATGTGTATGCATGTGTGTGTGTATGTTATATGTATGGATAGTGTGTGATGTTGACGACAATATACAGTATATGGATATACTGTATATTCAATGAGGCAATCGTTAGACATCGCCCCCACCCGACACATACAGACATCCATATACATGCCGTCACCACCAGCACCACCACCACAACATACTGATCCCACAAATCTATTATACTATAGAAAATACATACTGTTATCGTTATTATTCTGTATGTGATCGGTGACCTTTTGCCGGGCACAGGGCACATCAAAGCACAGCCCTAACCGCAACAGTGTCTTATTCTGTTCGACAGCTTTGGCAATTTCCATTTCGATACGATTGCCCATAACTATTGGCCGCTGATTGCAGGCCCGAAATTCCAGTACCCGCTGCTGAACTAACAGTGCCTGAATCAGTGTACGCAACATCGGACCGCTCAGATAGTTAGACTCCAAGGATATCGTACGCAACGTTGTATTCTCTTTGAGCGCTTCGACCAGTACTTCGGCCGGACCGTCGGTTAGTCCCGTATTCGATAGGTGTAGTGTCTTCAGGTGTGTATTCTGTTTCAGACCGGCAAACATTTTCTTGAATGTTTCGCGCGGCACAAACTTTATGTTATTCCAGTTAAGCTCAGTTAGATTGGGATCGTTGGCTATCACTTGTTTGGCGGTAGCTTCCGGATCGGTAATATTGTCCGGTTCGAAGGGCAATTTTCGGGGTACGGGTGCCTTAACAATCGATTCAAATTTATCGGTTCCCAGACGTTGGCCTTTATTCAAGATTGAATTGTGAAACTGGTCCTGATTGAGCATCGAGTGCAGGCCAAGTATGCCGGCCAGATCAACCAGATCGGCTTCGCTGGCGTCGTCCAATGCTTCTTCGGTGCCGTCATCCAAGTCCAGTATGATCTTCTCGTCCGACGAATTGGTGGTCTCCTGTTCTTTTGGTTCAAATATTTTGCCTGAAGAGTGAGGTGAGAGAGAGAGAGACAGACAGACAGTTAGCATAATAATAAAAACTAGCAATCAATTAGCTTCATGTGCTTAAAATCATCCCATCACTGATCACTGACCCCGTTTGACTCCGGACTGGAACGGCTTGAGCTCTGGCCAGTCTTCCTGTTCCTGTGCAAACTTTGTCAGAAAAGTCAACAGTTGTTTACGATTTAAGGGACCGGTAGCCGACTTGGATGTCTGATCTTTGCATCGTTGCGACGGCGGCAACAGATTATCATCGGGATCTACTTCTTCGCTCAGCTGAGCCAATTCGTCGGCCGTCAATTGGCCCAACAGTTTTTCGACGTCGACATTCTCGAACTCTTTCGGATCGCGACCGTATAGGGTCCGGAATTTCGGTTCGGGTGCCTTATCCTCCGATTCCTGGCGCTGGGATAGTCGGCGCTGGTTTATGGTACGGGTTGTTTTGGTTACCTGTGCTCGATATATACAAACAAACAAACAATAGCAGTTAATTAAATTTCAATTATATTTATATTCAATTATATTTTAATTATATTCAATTAAATTATAATTATATTCAACTAAATTCAATTATATTTATATTCAATTAAATTTTAATTAAATTTATATTCAATTAAATTTTTTTATATATTATATAATAAATATTGTATTTTTAAAATTTTTTTGTTGCAATATATTCAAAAAATATATATTGTATGTATTGATAATATTGTATATTATTGTATATTAAATTTTAAATTTATAAATAAATATATACAATAAAAATTTTCAACCCATTAATAAATTATTCAAATTATTTTTTTTGTCTGTCAGTCAGTCAATTGAAAAACACAGTTCAAAGTTTGCAAAATAGTCATCAATTTTATTATCGCGTCTAACCCTTCCTTAAATAATAATAATAATAATAATAAACTAGCAGTTCCTGAAAATTATTTTTTTTGTGTGGATTGCATTATTTGCAACAATTTTTTTTGTTATTTTGTTTTATTTGTTGCAACAAATAGCATCACATTTTTTTGTATAAAATAAAAAAAATTATATATAAATATATATATAGATACATATCATCATCAAGCTAAATCAGCAAAACAATAAAATTTACAAAAATAAATATTACAATAGAGAGACAGTATCATTGTATATAATATAAATACATTTTAATATTAGTCAAACAAAATATCAAACAAAATATTAGCTATAATTAACATAAAAAATATTATATTTATAGATTTTAAACACACACACAAAAAACTAACTATTAATTTATGATATATTGGGATATATATGGGGAAATATTAAGGAAAACCATTACTCAAAAAAAATTAAAAACAAATATAAATTATATTAAATAACATACAAATATGTTCATAAAAATAATTTAAAATTTTCACATTTCTATAGATACTGTTATTGTTATTAATAATAAATAATTATAATAATAATATATATACATATATTTTTAAATCCATACATAACATATGCGATTATCTATTTATATTTAATATATAGCATCAAATACATATATGGCAAGTGCGTGTAGATATATATATATATATATAAACTGTATATATATATATACCGTACAGTATATAATATTGATACATGAGATAAAAATTTTTTTTGAAGCAAAAATGCTATATATTTCTACAAAATAATAATAATAATTATTATTATTATTATACAAGCTCATTTAATTATATAACTATATTTTTTAAAAAAAATATATCTAAAAATGTTATAATTATTATACAATAAGCTTACATGAGATTTGATACTTAACATGTCCGCCGTGGGGCTCATGGATTTAATTGATAATTGGGGGGAAATGGGCGCCCAAAAAAAAATTAATAAATAATTTATTGCACAGTTAGATTTGCGCTGTTACATATGATAAATACACTTATTTAATATTATTACAGCACACACATATACACACATACAAACTAATATTAGCTAATAATATCCCGCCATATGTATCCAATAATAATATGGGAGGAAAACCTACTTGAGCTAAAACACGACTGCCCGGATCAGTGCCCAAAAATAACAACACTGTCTGTGAAAGATCTTCTTAACTAACTATGATTTTTTTGTTGGTGGATACATAAGTCTAAACATACCGATCCACACACACACACACACACACCAAAATWTATATATATATAAGCCTTAATGTGTTTCCATGAAAAACATGTTTGAAACTTATATAATCATTCATACATACATACATACATACGTACAAAAAATAACTTTTATAATAATTAACCATTGTTACCGATTTAACCACTCTATCTATCTATTTATCTATCTATCTATCTATCTATAAAACTATCTGTAAAATTAAATATACAGTATATATATATATATATATATATATACTGTATAATGTGTGTGTATATATATATTATGTATGCAAATATAATTATAATCTAACCTAACCCGATTGGTCACATTAGTTAATAATAAAACCAACAACAACAACAACAACAACATACATAAGCGCTCTGATGGTTGGTTACATACCGGTAAAAATGCAAAACATGCTAGATTATTATTATAAAAAAATTTTTTACACACACTATATGGGCTAATATAACTGTAAATTTTTTTTTAATTAGTTGCCAACTTTTTAGCTAACTCATACATGTCTATCGTTTATTTTCATAGACTAATCAAAAATGTTTTATAGGATTATAACCACTGGGTAAAAACACCACAACCAACATCACCACAACAACAATACAATTATTTAATTACCCAATCAATCAATATTAGGGTTGACAGTATAAATTTTAAAAAAATAACTAATTTAAGCATTAATTATAATAATATGATACTTTTTGAAAGTGAAATTTATGATTAAACAAACATTTTTTCTTTATATATATATATATATAATAAAAAATTTTTAAATATACAGTATTACTCTGTTATATAAATTATATATTTTTTTTAAAAATGTATATTAAAAAAATTGGTTACAGAATATTCTTTGGTTTTTTTAATTGGCAGCAGAATTGATGTATATTTCTAGTCATTTGTATAAATAGTTTTATAATTCTTTCATAGCTTGCAATTCCTGAGTTATCTCTCTCTCTCTCTCTCTCTCTCTCTCTCTCTCTCTCTCTCTCTCTCTATCTTTCAGTCTCTCTCTCTCTCYCTCTCTCTCTTTCATAACTAACTTTTACTCTTATGAATGGCTGGTATTTTTGGTAATATTATTATTATTAGTAAAATTCATGGGAAGTATACAGTACTAGTATATACTGACTGTGCTGTGAATTACAACCAAAAATAACGGTTTCTCTCATTTCATATGATTTTTTTTTATACTGTAGTAGAGATGATCTTCTTTTTTTCAGTTGGGGTTAAGTCTAGGAGCTAGAGATCTATGATGTGAATGATATCATATGAGAGAAGACATTAAATGTTAAGAGGGGGCTGAGCTCTCTCTCTCTCTCTCTTGGAGTGCACTGTCGGGTAATTTTTAGGTGTGTGTGTGTGTGTGTATCTAATGTGTAAGTACTCTCTCTCTCTCTCTCTCTCTCTCTCTAAAACAAATAACAACTAACACATACACACACACACCACACAAATAGTGAGAATAAATAATACCATTGCGAGCAATCAACCCGTTTGTGTCGCTAATCTTATATATATATACAGTATATATATATATATATTGTTTTATGAGTTTAATAATACAACAAAAATAACACCAAAAAAACTAGTTATTTATAATTTTTATAATATATTTATATATAGAGTTATTATCAATTTATATACAATTTATGTATAAATAATATGAACTATAAATATATATATTACAGAAAAACAATTGATATTTTTTTATGCAATTATATATATATAATAAGCAATTTTGTTCACCCATTGAATAACAATATTTTTTATTGTAAAAATCAGTCAAACAATAGTTTTATTTGTATGTATATAAATATACTGTATATTGTATGCAATCCAAGCATTTTTCACAATTAGTTTTTTTGTGTCTATTGTTTTTTTTCTGCTATAATTGTAAATCTCTTAAATATAAAATTTTTAAAAAAATTATTAAAAAACTAAAAATCCTATTCTCATTGATTATAATTTTTTTCCTATTCATACAATAATTATAATAGGATTGTAACAATTTTTTTTTTAATATAAAAATAATTATATATCACAATAACAACAACAAAAATTTTAATAATCATAATCATAATCATAATCTCTAGTGGTTTTAATGGTACACCTGTTGTATTAAATTTATTATTATTATTATTTTGTTTGATGCTATTGTAATTTAGGGTACATATTGTTTAAATGCAAAATAATACACAATTAAATTTGTATAAAATTATTTTTTTAAAAAAAGATTAAAATAATTTTTTTAAAACTATTATTTAGTACACATTTAATAAAGCATAATAATTATAAAAATGTTTGTTAAAAAAAATAATTATTATTATCATAGTACATACAATTTAAAATTTTATTTTTATTATTACCGTATTATTATTATTTTGTAAAAATATGATAAAGTTGAATGGCTTATTAATTATTATTATTATTATTATTATTATTATAATTAATAACTTTATTATGATTTAGCATTTATATATATAGATAATGGGCTAAATAATTGTATTATTGTTTTTTAAAATTTATTTATTAATAATTATCTATGTTTATTAAGATTTTAATCTAAGTTTTAATTAATCAATTATATATAAATGCATATATAAAATGTGTTTTTTTGGATGATTTTAGCTAATATATTGGATTTAAATATATAAATATAAATTAAGTTATATTTATTAAGATATTACAAAAATATATAATTATAAATTTTATTGTATTAAAATAATGATATATAAGTTATATATAAAAACAACATTGCTTATTTAATAAAAAACATTAGACAACAACACAAAAAACCAACTGGGATAAAAATGATATTATTATTATTATTATATCAAACATTAATTTTTATCATCCTGATAATACCCTGTATATGTATATAAACAAATTTAAAAAATTAACATCCTGGTAAATTAATATTTGTCATTACATAGGAATGTTTATATATATATATATATATAAACAGTATAAATGATATTAAATTGTAATTTTTTATTATTATTTTTGTTAACATACACATTTTTTGTTTGTAATAAAATAAATTTTTGTATTTTAAAAATAAAAATACATGATTCATACAATAATTTTTATTACTATCACTAACTAACTAACTATAGTTATAACTAACTAATTAACTATAGTTATAACTAACTAATTAACTATAGTTATAACTAACTAACTATAGTTATAACTAATTAACTAACTAACTAAATGTATACACTAACTAATTAAATTGAAATTAAAATTGAAATTAAATTAAAAATTAAATTGAACTAGTTAAAAACAAACAAAAATTATAGACAGAGTATATTTATTTATAAATGAATTGAATATAAATTTAATTGAACATGTTGATTTTAATTAATTAATTAATTAATTAAATTAAACAATGTAAAAAAACAATTGTTATAAAATCTTACCTTGGTGTATTCAAATTCAAACTCTTCGCCATCATCGGCCATGATTGTATATTATAATTTTAATTATAATTAATTAATTTAGTAATTAAAAAATTTCACTAGGATCAATTTATTATTTTTAAAAAAACACACAAACAACACAATAAACAAAAAACCAACAAGGTGTGTTTACTAATATATAAAGTAAATGTATATAGATATGTTATTTATAAATAATAAAGTAGAAATGAGCACGCACATATACTCAATTATATGACCATGGATAAATAATAAATAACAGACACTTTAATAATAATAATAATTAAACATTAAATAAAACAATAGTTTTTTTTATAGTTTTATTAAACAGTTTTAATATAATATATGTTGTGTTATGTGTTGTTAACTGTTTTTAATCATATATGGAGTGGCAATGAGTTTCATATATATTATTTGAGTCATTGCCTGCAATGCATATCATGTATAAGTACAGTACACACACAGTATAACTACTGCAGTACTACTACTACACTGTTTAGTACATAGTATTTAATACATACAACAGTTTATAATTTAAAATGTAATGGTTTTTAATGTGCAATCATTTTTTTTGTTGGTTGTCTTAATATACCCATTGATATTATACCATCCATACACCAGTGCTCACAACTAGGGTTTTAAAAAAAGGCAGGCCTAAACAATAGATGCCAATTTTTACCAATAGCCTACGCCCTGCCAAATGCCATGCCATCTATTTTTAAGCTGGGCTGACACCTATTATTTAAATTTTTACATTATTAATTTAATTTTATATTATTAATTTAATTTATTAATATAAAATATTGTTTTATCGATATATTTGTATACCTTTAATTAAAAAAAATAATATATTTGGAAATATAAGTATATTAATTGTAAATATAATTAACACGCTTGAAAAAAACACTAAATTACATTATTTAATTTTTTTTTATAAATTACAGTTATTTTTAGCAATTTTTAAAGGCAAATAAAATAGATGCCCAAAATTGCATTTATGGGCCTTTATTTGGGCATTGCCAGGGCAGGCATTTATTTGCTTAAAACCCTGCACACACACATATATATATACACACATACTGTACTACATATTGTACTGTAAAAGTAGGAGTTGTCTGTATATAAAAGTTAGATTACAATTGTAGTGACATCTATGTAGTCATCAAATTAATTATACAAAAAATTTTTTTTTCAATAAATTGATTGACAAACAACTTAATAAACAACAATCAAATGTAGTCATCCATACAACTGAAAAAAATCAGATGAAACTTAAGAGAAAAAAAATTAAATTATTTTTATATGAATTTCACATAAAAAACAATAAAATTAATACAATAATACAAACTTAAACAAACTTTAAAAGTTTTAAATACCATTAATAACGTCTAAACATTTTTTCAGCTATCTTTTAGCTACCACTTTGCCATTGATTTTAAATACAAACAAATATATTCAACAATACGTTATTTATACCCATAGTTACTATCATGTAATGCATATTTATTTAAAATAATGTTTGATTCATACAATCAGTAAATATCATTAATAATAGTTATATATATATTTGAATTAATTATTTAAAACTAGTAATATCAACTAATCGTAAAAATTTATTAAGTTAGTAATTTATAATAATAATAATTGACAAGCATAATTTTAAAAAAATTATTCATCATATAATTAATAAATTAATTTTTTTTAATTATTATGATTGATTATTTTTAAAAAAAAGTAAATTTAGCAATTAATTTTTTTTTAAATAATAATAATATTAGTTATATATATATTTAAAAAATAATATGACATAAATTATTATTAAATTTATTACCAAAAAAAATATTTTTTTAAATTAACTGATTTTAAAAAAATACTTATTTTACTTAATTATTGTGTGTCCCAGGTACTTATTTTAATTAATTAATTTATTTATCTATCTATAGCATAGATAATATACCCAAATTGTCAATCGTTTGGCCATCAATGGCTACCCCGAACCATCGGCTAGACTATCGGCGACTGAATGTCATTGAAATACCCGGCGACCCGTTTTGGGGCGGTTGGCGGGGCTGGAAATTCTGGGATCGGTTGGGCAATTGGACCCGCAAACGAGCATTTCAATATTGTCCGCAACGTCCGCCCGATTTTCGGCTACCAGATATGGCCGATTTAGATTTGCTATGCAATGACCCGACCTGGGAACGGATGATCGCATGGGAACAGTCGTCAATTGATTACTATTGGCTACAGCCTAGCGATGCCAATACGGTTGTCTATCGGCAAACCGAACCGACAATCATACGGCGGGCACCGTTTCCGATGCCTACCACTACCACCGATGCCACAAACATGACCGCCGATCATATCATTGATCTACAGTTGACATCACATAGTTGTCCAAAAGGTGACAATAATGTCCATCACATTAAACACTATATTTATAGTATAGTTATTGGTTGTAGAAAAAAACTCAACAAATTTATTATATATAAAAAACAATTGAAATAAATAATTAAACTATTAATTGATTGATAACTTAATAATAAAAAAAATAAATAGAAATAAAATAGAAATTATTTGTTTATTGCAAAAACAATTTTTTTTTGTTACAAAAATTTAATTAATTTAATTTACGTTTTTTAACAATGTAAGTTTTGTAAAAGAAATTCAAAAATAATGCTAAATATAATATATAGATGAATAGCGATACAAATACACGTTGAATACTACAATCGCATTTTGATTGGTTTAGTTTGAGCCATAATACGTGCAAATTTATTAAGAGACCCAGTATCATTTGTACAATTTGCATTATGGTAATTATCATGCTCACTTGTCTAGGTAGATGAATTTTCATAATCATCAATGCATAATAGGTATACATAACTGAGTGCACCATTACATTTATGACAAATGTCCATTGGGCAGTACCCGATATATCCATAAATAAATAGTAAAAGTATAGTAAGGTTAGTGAATGATGTATCCAGTGTAGTTTAATTAGTTTACTTTGACGCAATATAATAAAAACAGTATCCAATAGCTCCGGGATCTTTGACAAACAAAACAAACTGTACCAAAGGACTAGACGATAGTCCAGATAGTAGTCTGATTGACAGTAAGTGGCGACCAGTCCTTTATGTTTGTATTGATAGACAAAATTGGGAAACATTCTGATTGTGGCAATCATTGAAAAAATTGCATTCAATATATTCCATAGGATTAACAATGATCTCAATTTGTATGACTTTCCAGAGTTAGACATCCAATAGTTTAACACAAAAATTGTTAACAGATAGCCGATTGATATGTAGAATGTGATGAAAAAATTTTGGTTAAACCATTTTAGTATGACTGGCGCCGGTAGTACATCGAACAAGTAGTTTTCCAATTCAGTGATTACAGGTATGTACGATAAACCGGGTAATTGATCCCAATTGGAGGACCAATGATGTATTGAATCGATATTATAGTAATTGTAGCGAAAATCTGAATCCATTGTCTCACACCTGACTTTGTTATCAAAAAATAAAAATAATAATAATTAATATTATATCAAATCAATAGTTTTTTTTTGTAAAATATTTTTTTTTAATGATTTAACCAAAATCTGAAATCAAGGCAAAGGCTTATATAGTTATAAGTAGACTAAACTATTTCAAGGTTTGTTTGAAAATATTTATTAGAATACATGTAAAATATATTTAATAAGCTTTAAATAAGGGTTAAGTAAGGGGGTAGGGGGGTAAGGCCAAAATACACCCTAAGATTGAGATTTTGAGATTTTTTTTTGAGTATTTAGCAGATTTCATCTTAGTCTACCCCCTCCCCTAAAATCTAAAACCTTGATTAACCATCCTATAAATATAATATAATTTTGTCTAATAATTATAATAATAATAATAAGCATTACAAAGCAATTATTGTATATTACATATTAATTACATTTTTTAGTACATATTTTAATAAAATAAATTTATAAACATTTGATTGAAAACTGATAAGTATTTGTCACACTAACAGATAAAAAAGCAGTTAATAATGCTAGAAAGCATTATTAATAAAAAACTTTGACGGCATAAAATTAATTGTCAGTTGATTTTAGTCATATAGTCAAATGACTCGGTATGAGATAATATACTCAACTTTAGTCATGTAGGGTATCAAATGACTCGCTATGACAAAATAAACAACTATAGTAATGTAGGGTATCAAATGATTCAGTATTACAAAATAAACTCAACTATAGTCATGTAGGGTATCAAATGATTCAGTATGACTAAATAAACTCAACTATAGTCATGTAGGGTATCAAATGATTCAGTATGACAAAATAAATAACTACTCGGGTAAAAGTTTCGAGATATCGCGTCGGAGGAATGGCTTCAAAATATTTTTAATATAGTAATCGACATTGATTTTGCCAACCGGCTTAACAAATCTGGTTTCGGTCAAACCGTTAGCTGACCTTCCTAGCCAAACCATAAAACCTTTCGGGAATGATGTGGTCGAGTATACTTCCATTTCTTTTCGTGTTTATCCTTTGGATATGTATTGAACATTTGTTTTGCCATTTGTTTCAGATATATGGAATAATGCCCGTTTTTTTGGCCAATTTCAACTTTAATACCTTACGGATGTGATATCTTACAACCCATACATTTGTTTTCAATTGTTTGGCCATCAATTTCTGGAATATAGGATTAGGATTTGCTACCATTTTCTTCAATCGATTTATTTGGGTTTTTGTCAGTTGACTTTTCCGGCCCCTGGGCTCGGGATTCATCGGGATTTTGGATACAATTGTTGAATCATTTTTCACTTTAGATATAAAACCTTTGGATATTTTAATGTTTTTTTGACTTAAAATGTTTTATTATCACAGAATAGGACCAATTAAGCTCTAAAAAAAGCCTTAATTTGTGTCCGAACCTTCAGGGCTGACCATTGGCTGACATTTTCAACTGCACTGAAAAATAATTTATATCACAATAAAAGTATGACTAAACAGTTTGTTTTGATAGTAATGTAAATAAATCTTAAACACAATAAAGTGGTTAAATCGTACATCAATTACGTTCACAACAATTGTATTACCAATTGTATATATATATATATAACAAAATATTTTTTATATATTTAATTATTTAATAATAATATTGTATTTTTGTTACAAAAAATAAACATAGTTTTATATACTTTTTTTTTATTTGTTAAGAAAATATTATAATATTAAATATTATATTATTGATTACCATTTATTACATTTATAAATTCCATTTTAAATTTTTATAAAAAATTTTATAGTCATTATATACCTTATTATAAATTAGGATATATTTATTAGTTTTTTTACTTATTGTGAAATGTCTATTAGTACATTTTTTGAAAATTGCATTAATAAA